GAGGCGGCTTGGCCTTCCTGGGTGCTGCTCAGGCAGCCTCCAGCCCGGCTCCAGATCGAGGACCCAAGCGTTTGCATCCGGCCCACGGGAGGATTGGACTCGCTGGATCCCAGCCGGGGCCCTGGCCTGTCCCGGCTGGATGCCTGTTGCCGTGCAAGGGTACCAGTGCTTCTCCGTATTTTGCACCACCGGGGAGCCCTGGGCACGGGGGGGCGGAGGGGAAGGCTGGGCAGTTCTAGGCCAGGCCTCCCATCCACCAAACCAAAGAAAAGCCGCTGAGCCCAGAAGAGGGCTTGCAGCTGGAGACTGTCTGGTTGTTCCCTGTAATGCTGCGTCCCTCCCTGCCCCAGAAGGGGCCAGAGCCCAGCCCTCCGGCACATGGAAATGTTTCACCCAGTCAGGCAGGGACTGTCTTGTCCCAAAGTCTCCCTGCCCCTTGGCTCATGGCTAGCAAGGTGCATGCTGGATTGTCTGGTTGTGGATCCCTACTAGCTCAATGACTGCACTTCCTCCTGTCTGCAGGCATGGGAGGCCAGAATGGAGGGACCCCAGATGGCTCCTCACATTTCCCTGCCTGGTGAGTTCCTGCAGACCTGTCCTCTCTGAGCTGGTGGGCCTGGTAGTAGCCACAGAAACTTTCATAGTTGGAAGAAATTTATCACTAGCTACAGATGTCTCTCTTGCATTGGTTTGAAAATGGTTGGTATGTGCTCATATGGTAGACCTCCCCACTACCATTCTGCTGTGCCCTTTTCTCCCCTTGGTGCCAATGATCCTGCAGCCAGGAACATGGACTCAAAATACAGGAGTCTGATACTGACTGGATCTAGTGGCTGCTTCTCCACCAGCAGGGAAAACTACCACACCATCTGCACTATGGGGGTGGGGAGGTCAGGGGGCTGTGCCACACATCACAGGACTCCAGGGAAAAACCTGCACACCAGTGTGAGCCTAGAGACCAGAACTGTCCAGTGCAAAACCTGGTCCCTGGCACTGGTGAGTTAGGTGTCACTTCCAGTCTAGCATTTTAGGTGGCAGTGGCCTGCACCTGTGGTACACATGTATGCAGGTGGTGAGTAGGTGAAGTGCTGGGGAGCTTTCCACCTAGTCTGCTGCCTGCTTCCCTTTAGTTTGTCTTGGCTAGTTTGGCCTGGAAGCCTCCTCTGTGCCTGCCCAGGGATGTGCTGGGGACCTGTGAATCGCTGCAGTCACTGATTCCAGTGCCTACCTCCTTCTCTCTCCCTCAGGGAAAGTTCAAGCACCGAGCCTGTGAAAACACACCGAGAGTGATGAATGGATGAGCTGGCAGAGTGTGCTTCTGCCACTCCAGGCATGTCTGGAATGGCGCCCACAGTCGCTGACACTGTTTTCAGGCCTCCAGAGAGACTCGGGGAATTGGCCTTGCTTCTTCACTGCTTTGGAGACTGCAGCCATCTACTCCCTTTCACTGAGCTCTGATGGCACTGGTAACCTGTGTGCACAGCTGCACAGAGTACTGTGAGAACTCATCTAGGATGGACTTTCACCTGTCTTGTCTTTGGGCAGGAGGTGCTATTTTCTGTTCATTCACTACTAATAGTATTTGCATTGGCCCCATGTAGTGGATCTTGGCTCCTGCACCAAAGCAGGAAACTTACCAGGCCTCCACAGCAGCATTCAGTGTTATGCCTCGTTCTTGCCCTGATAGCCTCAGTTTAAACCCTCCCCCATACCTAGTGCAAGTGCTGTGAGTCTCTTCACCCTGCCCCCAGCATCCCAACTTCTGTCTGCTCAAATACTTCCTGCTGCTTTGGCATTTTCTGTGTTCCTTAATGAGAAATTGTCTGACCAGGTCCCTTTTCCCTCCACTGCCATGGGATGAACTGTGCATGCCTTCTGTGCCAAGGTGGTGTGTTGTCCTGCCTCACCTGCCATGTTCCCTGACATCACCTAAACACCATGAAAAGCTTGAGACTTCTCTGTGGTCCATCTGCTCCTCCTTAATGGAGCAGGGCACTCTTGGATGACCAGGGCTCCTGGCTAAGTACAGGCTGTTGAAGGGGAAAAAAGAGCAGGCTAGCAGGATACATTTGTCCAAGCCTGCCTAGTTACCTAAAATAGCTAGTTATTTAGACATAAAGAGCTGCTACACTTACCTGTCTTTGAGTAGGGGGTTGGCAACAGTTCCACGTTCTTCTGTTGCCCTACTTCAGCACCACTAGCTGGCTAATGCATGCTTGAGTGTAGCTCTGGGAATGCAAGAGGTGGTGGTGACTTCAGCTTCTATACAGCCCCTCAACTGCTTTCCCTCTGTTCTGGTACCCTCCAAGTTCTGCCCTGCAGCTGGTGGTCCCACCTGTGCTAAGAGCCAGCTTCTGTAGAGTGAGAGTCAAGATGCCACCTAGTGGGTGACTTGAGGATGTACTGGCTCCTGAGTAAGGGTCTGGTAACGTTTCCTTGCCACATCACCCAGAAGAGGGCACCATCCTGGTTTTCTCCAGGCCAGGAGCAGCGAGTGACTCTGTAGGCCCCACTGGAAGACCTTGCCATGGAACACAGCATCCTGGAGCCCAGGTCAGAACTGTAACCATAGGTGCCTTCAGCCACTTCCTAACCCCTGATAGCTGGTGGCTGCCTGTGCCTTCTGTGTGGCTCCTCTGACCCTGGCTCTTTCCTACCCATGTAAGTACATAGGCTTCTGACTGGAACTGTGCTGGTACCTTGTGCCATAGAGCATTGGTGGATTAAAGCCTCTTTGGTTTGATCTGGGTGTCTCCATTCCTTGGGCATGTTAGGACAGGGTTGTTTTCCCCTCACTTCTACAGCACGTAATGAGGTGGGGGGGGGCAGCTGGGAGTGGAGGAGTCTTACATAGATTCATAGATGCTAGGGTCGGAAGAGACTTCAATAGATCATCGAGTCCGACCCCCTGCATAGGCAGTTGAAGACCCCCAGGGTAGGGGAGGGCACCACCTTCCTTGGGAGCCCATTCCAGACCTTGGCCACTCTAACTGTGAAGCCTATGATTCTGACTGATTCTTCCTAATGTCTAGTCTAAGTCTACTCTCTGCTAGCTTGTGGCCATTATTTCTTGTAACCCCTGGGGGCACCTTGATAAATAAAACCTCACCAATTCCCTTCTGTGCCCCCATGATGAACTTATAGGCAGCCACAAGGTCGCCTCTCAGCCTTCTCTTGCGGAGGCTGAAGAGGTCCAGGTGCCCCAGTCTCTCCTCATAGGGCTTGGCCTGCAAGCCCTTAACCATACGAGTGGCCCTTCTCTGGACCCTTAGGTTGTAGCCGTGTTGGTCTAAGGACATATACAGACAAGGTTCTGATATCTTTTATTAGATCAATTTTAAATAGTTGGAAAAAATATTTAGCAAGCTTCCTTCGTCAGGCTGAGGAAGTCTCTGCAGTTGGTGTACCCACATCCCTCTGGAAGTGCGGGACCCAAAACTGCACGCAATATTCCAACTGTGGTCTGACCAGCGCCCGATAGAGGGGAAGTATCACCTCCTTGGATCTATTCATCATGCATCTGCTGATGCACGATAAAGTGCCATTGGCTTTTCTGATGGCTTCGTCACACTGCCGACTCATGTTCATCTTGGAGTCCACTAGGACTCCAAGATCCCTTTCCGCTTCCGTTCCACCAAGCAGGTCCTAGGCAGTAGGTGTGCTGGACATTTTCCCTCCCTAGGTGCAGCACTTTGCATTTCTCCTTGTTGAACTGCATTCTGTTGTTTTC